GTACGTGTGTGTATGTATATGTGTGTATATATATATATATATATATATATATATATATACTTAGATCATATATATAGTATATATATATATATGATCTAAGTATATATATATATTTTTTTTTACACTTATAAATTTAATTTTAATTTTATTTCTAGCCAGCAGGGGGACCATCTGTAATTACAGGCAGCCCCCCTGCTGGCAATACAGCAGGGACCTCACTCTCACATGGCCGGGGGGCACCGGAGGAGGAGGAGGAGGATCTGCCGCGGGGGTTCGCGGTAAATAAACCGAGGGCGCATACTACGTCACAAGCGCGAGAGCCGCTGCACAGGAGACATAATTGTACGCCCTCCGGTCTTAAGGGGTTAAGCAGACTGTGATTGTCTATTGTTGTGACTTAGATGATGATCAGATCACATTTTATGGCCAATTTGTGCATAAATCCATATCATTCCAAAGGGTTCACATACTTTTTCTTGCAACTGTATACAAATAGTATTATTTTTTGTTTTATGTATTTTTTTTGTAATATTGTACCCTATTGTAATGATGCAATGTTTACAGCACATAATTCATTTTTTTCCCTCTTAAATGAAAATGTATTCAAACTCATAAACAATAGAGATAAAAGTCATTGTGAAATTGTCACAGAATACATAGAGTATTGAGACATTAATGATAACATATGTCACATAATATGTACGAGTTAGCGTATGGGTACATATGAGCGTATAATGTACAAGCGTATACATGTATAAAAAAGGGCCAATGAATATGTGCATTGTATTTGATCCATGTGTTTTAAAGAAAAATAGGGTATTGAGGGATTAGGGGTTGTGGGTCAGCACTGGCAAGGATCAGAAAGGAGAAGGGAAAAGCAGAAGAGAGGGTAAAAGAGATAGGGAGAGATTGGGAGTAGAAGAGAAAAGTGGGGAAAAAAGGGGGAGGAGCAGGGTGAGTAGGTTGCTCACCCCCTCTCACCCCCCCAAAAGCAGCCACCGCAGGACTACGCCATTCATCAAGATGAGGGGGGAACGCGGTCCGGCCTTGTGTGCTAGTATAAGTTCAGTGGTATGGTCAAAGCTGTTAGGTCAGGTATTAGCGGTCCAAGCTCCAGGTTTATTTATCTGGTTGTCAGCCATTGGATCCAATGAAACCA